CCAAACCGAACTGTGGGCAGTTTCTGATGGCCTTGAACTCACATGGAAGCACAACATACGTTTTCTTGAGATCAATTCTGATAACATCAATTTGGTTTCATCATGTGACCAACATAATTAGGAGTGGATATGAATGTTGGACTTGAGCTTTAAACTTATCATATTCAAACTCAATGAGGAAAACATTGGGCCACTTCTCCATTTCCCACACTCAATACCCAAACCATGAAAATAAAAATCTCTTCCAACATAAATGTCATTCATGAAAGCTAAAATAGAGAATAAATTTTTGGTTTCCTTATATAAAAAAAATATCAATGATAAATTTATTATTATAATTAAGTTTTAAAGGTTTAAAGGTTTTAGGTTAGATTTGTTGAGTTTAAGATTTTTTTCTTTAGTAAAGCGAACACTAGATTTATGTTCATGGGGTAAAAAAAAACAATGAACTAGAAATTTGGGATCTTAAAATCTTCGTTGACATCAACCAAAATTGACTTACGACGATTAATGGTGGCTGACGGTGATGATATTGGTAGTGAGTGGAGGCGAGATTTTGTTTCAATTCAGGGGCCAAATTATATTTTATCTAAAATTTTGGGTCAAACTAAAAATTAATCATTTCTATTAACGTTTCATGTCATCAAACTAACATAGGTAACGAATCAATGATAAAGTAACAATCGATAACGTAAGTGATTAAAATTTAATAAATCAATAACATAAATCATCAAAATATATTTTTTTATAAATCAATCATAAAAAATAAACAAAATTAAAACGAAAATGAACGTATAATCCAAAAAGGAATTTTACAAATTTTGGAGCATGTTTCAACATAACAGGTAGGCACATGAAAAATGAGTACAAGGTTCCAGTAATGGCAAGTCTTACTAAATTTAGGGTTCATGCAAACAAAATGAGAGAAAGTACTAACAACTGCGAGGGAAATTTAAAAAGAAAAAGGAGACGTCAAATCAAATAGTGGAAGACAGTTATGTGTTGATGTCCCCCTAACCATTAAAATTTCAAAATCCAAAAGAAGACAGAGATTTGAGCTAAGAAACATGAGGCGCGTATCTGCATATCCGAAGAGTTACTTAAGCTCGTGTGGCGATGGAAAAAGCTTCTGGAGGCTCGTGTGGCGGCGACGGTTGTTGGATGACTCCTAGGGTTTCAGAAAACCTTAAAATTTACTTATGTTCTATTATTAATTTTGGTCACTCGCTATTAAAAAATTAATAATATTACTAATATAAGGTTTTATAGAAAAATTATTTTTATGTGTTTTTATAGAAAATATTAATAATATTTTAATTTTTTATGTGTTTTTATTGAAAATTTATTTTCGCCTCTGAAATATTATAATTTTGTCATTTCCTAAAATTTTAGAAGTCCATCCCTTAACATAATTTTTTTTGCGTTTGTCCATATATATATACACATATTTTTTTTTATAGAAAGTCATTAGTTTTATTAAAAATAGAAAATATCCAGAATTACAATGAAGATTTACGAGCATAACCGTAAATTAAATTATAATTAGAACATTTTCCTATAACCATTAACACAAAAACTTGCCACATATATCAAATAAGGATCATAAAAGGAAAATGTTAAAAAAATATAATAAATGCTCGAATAAAATAAGATACAAACAAATTTGATTGCATTGACAGACTAACCACAAAATGAGATGAAACTACTAAAAGACCACCAATAAATCGCAAATCATAGTCAAGCAACGTGAAAAAATTATACACGAGCGCAAAAAGCGTATTTAAATCAATACGAGTGTCCAAAGCAGGGTTTAGCATTTCCTAATCTTCTTTATTAAATTCATAAAAGAATGCATAGACAAATGATTGACAAAGAAAACTCATGAAATAATATTTGAGATTAAAGATGAAAGGTTTCCTAATCTTCTTTATTGTCGACAAAATCAAATCTTTAAAATCAAAATGGTTATTTTTTTCTCTTAATATTTGAAGGCTGAAAATGCAGCGATTTTCTGGAAAAATCATTGATTTTTAATTATTTACGTGTCAGACACCGTTATAGAACATATTACGGATCTAGCATCGACTCATGTTGAAAGACACCTCCATGAACAGTGACTAACGTTAGGGATATAGAGCGGGTGTTAGTTTCATAATTTTTTTATAATAGCTCCTAATGTGTACTTAATTTCTGATAGGATGATTTTTGTGTAAAAACGTTAACTTTTTTATTTATTTTTGTGTGTAAAAAAAATTTATGCATCAAAATTTTTAAATATTCTTTTGCAAATTATTTTATAACTCGACAAATTTTGATTTTTGCATGAAATTACACAATACATATAATCTAGTATAGGAAAACTTTGAGGGTAAGTAATTTAAAATATGAATAATTTTATAAAAATTTTATAACTAGTATTTATTTTACAAAATGATGATGTTGATAAGAAATATTTTATAATTTAAAATATTATAAATTTTATATATTTTTGAAAAATTTACTGATTTTTTAATTAATTGTTTAAAATATAAAAAAATATTAAAATAAACTTTTAATTGCAATTGAGGAATCAAATGAATTATTATTCATTAATTATTATTTTTAGCAATAGTTAATAATGTTTATTCATTTTTAATAAAATTAAAATTTAATATTTCTTTTATATTAAATAAAAGTAATATTAGAAAGAATATTTTAAAATATATATGTGATATATTTTAGCTTTACATTCTTTTTTTATTGAGTTTTGTTACAAGTTTATAGAGTAACACAAAAGAAAGGAAAAATATTTAGATTTTCATGTATAGAGGTGTTTAAATAACCGAACTAATTCGGTTAACCGATCGAACCGAATTAATTCGGTTAATTCGGTTCGGTTACCGAATTAGTTCGGTCGGTTAATGGTTAATAAAATTTTTAGAATTCGGTTAACGGTTAATTCGGTTTGAATTTGGTTAATTAACCGAATTAACCGAATTAACCGAAATTAAATTTTAAATATTAAATATATTATATATAACATATGAGCTCAACCCAAATCATTTAAAACCCAATTAATAATTTAAGATCTAATAACTTTTAAACTTAAATCAATATTAATTAATTAAAAAATTATATAAATTTTTTATTTTATAATTATATATTATTTAAATTAATTGTAAACTGTTTTTTAATTGAAAAATATTAAATATATTATATATATAACATATGGGCTAAGCCCAAACCATTTAAAACCCAATTAATAATTTAAGATCCAATAACTTTTAAACTTAAATCAATACTAATTAATTAAAAAATTTATCTAAAATTTTTATTTTATAATTATATATTATTTAAATTAATTATAAACTTTTTTTGAATTAAAAAATATTTAATTTTTATATAAATTAGAAAATTTTAAAAAAAATTCGGTTAATTCAAAATTAACCGAATTAAACGAGTTATAATTCGGTTCGGTTAATATGTTCGAAAAAAAATTCGGTTCGGTTAACGGTTAAAGAAAAAAAAAGTTTGGTTAATTCGGTTCGGTCGGCCACCGTTTTAACCGAATGAACACCCCTATTCATGTATGTATTTATACTTTTCTTTTAGAAATATTTTATCATAATTTTTCTTAATTAATTTGAATAATAGCAGAATAAATGATTAATTTGAATTATAACTCGTATATTTAAAATTCAATAAAAATACAATAAAAAATAATTAAAAATGAATAAAACTCAATAAAAAAGGTAAAACTAAAAATATCACATATATTTTTAAAATATTCCTTCTAATATTAATTTTTAAAAAATAATATAAATATTAAATTCTAATTTTATTAAAAATGAATAAACATTATTATCTATTGTTAAAAAATAATAATTAATTAATAATAATTCATTTAATCTCTTATTTATAATTAAAAGTTTATTTTAATTTTTTTTATATTTTTAAACAATTAATTTTAAAAGTCAGTAAAATTTTCAAAAATATATGAAATTTATAATTTTTAAATTATAAAATATTTCTTATTATCATCATCATCATCATCGTCGTCGTCATCATTTTGTAAAAGAAATACTAGTTATAAAGCCTTTATAAAATTATTTACATTTTAAATTACTTACCCTCAAAGTTTTCCTATACTAGATTATATGTATTGTGTAATTTCATGCAAAAATAAAATTTGTCGATTTATAAAATAATTTACAAAATAATATTTAAAGATTTTAATGGATAAATTTTTTTTTTCAAAAAAATAAAAAAAATTAGCGTTTTTATACAAAAATCACCATAATATAAATTAATTACATATTACGTATCATTTTTAAAAATATTACGAAACTAACATCCGATCATTACAAATAAGGTACAGTACATAGATCACGTCTCAAGTGACGTTAAGGCGCGTATGCAAAAGTATTAGATTCGTAATATTTTCTTTAACTATATCTTACAAGTAAATAAGTGATTTTTTTTAGAAAAAGGGCCTGAAAACGCATGATGTAAATGTGCTAATGGTCATTTCGAATTAAAATGATTAACTTTCAGCTTTAACAAAAGATAATTATATATATAAAAAAGGGTAAACTATGTACACGTGCTTCTTTTTAATTTTTTTTTAAATATGTACACGTCAAAAAACTTTCATTTCAGGGACAATTGGTCAGCGTGATTTTACAAGGGCGGCAATTTTGTATGCAGAAATTGGTTTCGAGACACGTTTTCTTCATGTTATCATAAAACAATTAACAAAAATTCAAAAACAAAGCATATTAAGTAGGGTAAATTAATAGGAATTACAGGTTGATTAAAGGAGGATGGAAAAATGGTTATGGTTTGACCAAGTAAAAAAGAGAAGCAGGCACACGTGTAACAAATCAGTTCCGACCACCTCAATCTTCCAACATCCAAAATACATTAGTGGAAGTGCATGGCAACCAACCGGACATCAACGAACCCTCCCAAATTTAATCTCCACAAAGCCCCTCAATCCCTTTCTTTTTAACCTCAATTATATGCAACATGTGAAAACAATACCCCATCCACCATTCAAAACCGCCGATCATACGCCGCCTCCGCCGACGCTATGATCGCCGTCGTCACTTACTACCTCTCCCAACACCCTTCCATCGTCGCCTTCCGTTGGAGCCACACTCAATCATGGGGCTCCACCTGGTCCTTCCTCGTCACCTCCATCGCTCTTTACCTCATCATCTCCTCCTCCATCCACCTCTTTCTGTGCCTCCTTTTCCGACGCGGCCGCCCCGTCTCCCTCGGTCCGATCCCCGCGCTGCATAGCCTCTCGATGATCGTCGTATCCGCCGTAATCTTCACAGGGATCTTCCTCTCAGCCGCTGCGGAAATCAAGGAGACCCGATGGTTCTGGCGCCGTTCGAAGACCCCGTTCCAATGGCTCCTATGTTTCCCCCTGGGAACCCGTCCCTCCGGCCGCGTCTTCTTCTGGTCCTACATCTTCTACCTCTCCCGTTTCCTCCACATGTTCCGCACCATCTTCTCCATTTTCAGGACCCGGAAATTGACCTTCTTCCACCTCTTCAACAACTCCATATTGACGGTCATGTCCTTCCTCTGGCTGGAGTTCTCGCAGTCGTTTCAAGTGCTGGCGATCCTATTCACGACCCTCGTTTACGCCGCCGTCTACGGCTACAGATTCTGGACGGCGATAGGGTTACGAAGCGCTTGCTTCCCCTTCGTGTTGAATTGCCAAATCCTGCTGTTGGGCTGCAACGTGGTCTGCCATGTTGGGGTTTTAATGCTGCATTTCATGAAAGGCGGGTGCAATGGGATCGGAGCATGGGTTTTGAACTCTGTTCTCAATGGGTTTATTTTGTTACTGTTTTTGAAGTTTTATGTTCAGAACAGAAGAAAAAATGGCAATGGCAATGGCAAGCAAACGCCGGTGATCGGGGAAATTCACAAGGACAAAGGTTTGTGACGAGTTTAGGTTGTCGGGTTATCTTAAATCTGTAAAGAAAATGGAAAATAAGGCTATTAATTATGTACATTCTGTAATCTTCTTCGTTCGTCCCGTTCAGATTGTTTATATTTTAAATGCAAGTGTGTTTAATGAAGTGTCCACTAATAGGGTAAATTAATGTGGAGATCGTTTTCAAATTTACGTGACATCTTAATTGAAAGAATTAATTCCTAATTTTTCTTAATCCCATCTCTTACTATCATTGGCAATGGTTGATGACATGGGCGGCGCCACCCTATCACTTGGGTGTCAACTGACACCTCAAAGATAATTTATTTTAATCTTTTTTATAAATAAAAATAATTTAAAAAGAATATTAATACCCTTTTTATCTCTGTTTTGAAAACCAGACCGGATCGTCTGGTTCAATCGGGAATCGTTGTTTAGTCCGGTTCAATCTAAACCGGTTGAACCGCTATTAATGAACCGGCCAGAACCGTTGAACCGTTCGAACCGGATCGGCTGAAAACCAGGAAAAACCGGGATTTTTTTTTTTTAAAAATTAAACCAAACAACGTCGTTTGTTAAACGAGTCAAGTCGAACTCGAGCATTGCTGAGCTCGTCTCGAACTTGAAAACTTTAAAAGTAAGCTCAACTCAAACTCAGAAACTAAAAATTATCAAGTTCAACTCAAACTCGAAATATAATATTGAAACTTGAACTCAAAAAGGTTTGAACTTAAAAAAAAATAGAAGCTCGATTGAAGCCTAAAATTCGAGCTTGATTGAAGTGAAAGAATAGTTCATTCAATGCTCACCAAAAGGCTCCATGATTTTGAATATCAAATTATCTCTATTATTTATAGAAGTTAGTTGTGATGCGCTTCTATGTTTCTTAGCAATGTGAGATTGTTTTGTTCTCATATTTTTACTCTTTAGACTTTTGGGATGCTCTTCTATGTTTCTTAGCAATGTGAGATTATTTTTAAAAAAAAAGATATTAAACCAAACAATATCATTTTGTTATGATTTTTTTAACCCCAAATTTATTTTTTAATTATAGTTATATAATTATATTTATTATTTAATATGTTTTACCTTAAATATTATGTTGTAGTTAATTTGAATCATTTTGTTTCACTTGATTTTATGGTTTTTAACTTATATATGTTATGACTTGCTTTGAATATGACTTGTGATATAAAAAATTATTTTTTATTAAATATTTTTGGTATTTTTATTTATTTTTTTAAATAATTATGACGTCGTCCGGTTCTTTCGACTGATCAGATCGATTCGACCGATTAAACCAAAGAACCGATAGCATGACCGATTCGCTAACCGATTCGATTCTGAAAACAAAGCTTTTTTTTTATACACAAACTGTATCAGAAAATAATACAGTTATAACTATTACATCGACATCACATCATGGAGATAGGATAGAATGGACGGTTTTGGTATCAGAAAATGGAATATTTCATCTTTCGTTTGCATATGCAAATGCTAGTTGGAAACAACCATTTAATTTTCGGAGTTTGAGGTGGTGTTTTCTTACAGCAAATCAAGAAAAATAATCTTTTTGTATTCATTCCAAGCCAACAGATTAGATTACCAAGAAGAGGGTTGAAGATCTATGCCACAGAGGATCCCAGGAAGCAAATAAGCATGAAATCAATAATCAATTCTCATAACAGTTACTCCATAAAAGAAACTCGTAAAATTGAGTGGCTTAAGTGGTAAAAAGAGTTTTTTTTTTCTTTTTCTTTTGAAGGTATTGAAATTGAATAGCTGTATTTATAGGGTTTGTAAATACAGTGACGGAGCCATGTAGTCCCCGGAAGGGTCAGTGCTCCCAAATTTTTTTACCATTAAAAAATAGGGATAATTACCAAATTAGACCTTTAAATTTTGATTTATTTTGATATTGCCCCCTATTTTCTATTGTTAATTATACTTTACCCCCTGAACTAAAATTTTGGCTCCGTCCTTATCTATATATTGCCAATAACTAAGAAAAAATCTGAACAAATACTACTTTATAATCACTTGAAACTATAAAAGAAAAAAAATTAAGGTTGAAAGATCAACTACGAACTAGTTCATATTTGTGTCACAATAAGATAAGGCAATGTCATCGTTGAAAGAATATTACGCCAGTTATTCTATTAATTTTTTAATGGTAGATGATCAAATTGAAACCAAAATGTAATGTTATGTATGATTTTGAAAACAAAAATTATTTAGATGACCAATATGGAACAAAAAAGATAGCTGGGTACTAAACCTGTGGTTTTTTCCCTTTATTTTAAATATTTACTTGGTAATTTATTGTTCAAGTTTTATAATTTCTTATTATCCGATTTATTAATATTGTTTGGGCTAAACCCAAAGTGTTTATGAAGGAATTAAATGGATCCATTGGAACTTCAAGTGGGCCAAGACCACACAAAAATAAAATCCTATATCTTTCCACGTTGCTCCTCCAGGATTTCAATTTTTATTATTACTACAATACGATTCATAAATTTAGATTACAATTATTAAATTCTTCAATAAATAAAATTTCAAAAAAAAACATGTCCAGACATAATATAAATAAATATATAAGTTAATAAAACTTTCAAACTCAAAAAATAAGGTAAAAGGAATATAAATATTTTTAAGAAAAAAATTAAATCACACAACAAATTATGATAGATATGAAATATAACGAGAAAAAACGATTTGGGCACAAAAATAATCTTTTAAGTTGAATAATTGTAACAAACTATGCAATTACAATATTATTAATGTGATTTAAAAGAAACACACGCATTTCAATAACAAAAAAATATCTGTGTACGTAGAAATTTTCCGTTGAAATACTCACCAATCAAAATCAAATATGCTACCTAGAACGGTCCAAATTAAATAGGACAAAACCTTGAAATTAGAGAGCAACCAAAAAATATCATGTTTTAGAAATCTCGTAAACTCGAACTTAAACCTGGTTTATTTTTCAAGTTGCTCAAGTTCCCAGCCCCTTTGCACTGTGATTTTCTTAAAGCAGATCTCCCCCTTTCATGGAACACATGGAAAATGCTTGACCAACAAATGGTCTATTAAATTATATAACTGTTTGAAGAGAAAATATATATATAAATGGTTGAATATTAGAGGTACAAAGGATAATGTTTCAAACAAGAGACGAATTGTTAGAAACTTGCAATTACTGAAAATTCCAATGTATTTCTCACACATTTATTTCCTAATTAAAACGTTGATGACGAGTTTAGAAAACATGATTGTTTCACGATGTCTTAAAGGGATTTGTTGAAAGTTGAATAATCGGATTAGATTCGTTGGTAGACGTTGCCAAATTATCAGTCAGGGCATATATATGTTAACAATATAAAATTTTTAAACGGAATGGGTACAAATAAAATTTTAGGGTGTGCACCGCACATAAAATAAGTAATTGATTGAATAAAATTCTGATTTATAGTGAAAAAATCTTTTTCGACTCAACATAATATTATGATTACTTTTTATATATTTAAAGGATAATTATAATGATATATATTTATATTGATTTTTCAGTTAGGTTTTTATTTTACCTAATGAAAATGAAAATTTCTATATGATTTAGGTTGAGTCGAGTATAAATTTTAACCTGGAAAATCATTTAGAATTTCGGATCAAGTAAAAGTCTTTCAAACTCGATCAAATCGAATACAAATGAATACATTTAATTTTCATGTCGATTTGGGTGGACTAAAAACTTGATTCGGCCTAACCTGTCTTGGTCCTAACTTCATCTGACTAGTTGCCCTAAAAATCTAAAATCACACAAATCTGAAGATCGTTGAGCATAATTTTATTCACATTAATCACATGGAAATGAATACTTGCAGCTTAGAATGTATTTGTTTGTTGAGATTTCTGCCAATCACCTTATTTTGGCGATATAATGTCTTGCCATATCACAAATCAAGTGGTCCCGTGGAAAAGAAAGTTTTATTATTCTTTGAGGATTCGAGTTCGAGCACCATAGATTCTATGCTAATGGTGTGAGCGATCAATGTCGTAAGGTTGTAAGTTATCTTTGAACATATACTACTTTATACTTGTCAAGATTAATAAAAAGAATGTATTGCGAGCTAATTTTGAAGAAGTCAAAATATGTAGGTTAATTTTTGTATTTGAATGATTTTGTTTCTATATTCAAATGTTAAAATTTAATTTTAATATTTTGATAAATTGAGAGAATTAGCCCAATAACTGCTACCGAACCCCATTATTAATAATTAGATTACAATTTTCAAATAAATTATTAATTTTAATATATGAAATAAATCTCAAATTTTGAAGAAAAAAAATAAATAAAACTGAGATTGGCTAACTATTCTAACCTTTTGGAAAGGACAAAAATTGATGAAAATTACAAAATTCTCATAAAAATATGAATTTCTACATCTTACTGAGATAAATGGAAATGCTACAACGTGCAGTTTACCTGTTGGGACTTATTTGTCAAACTTGGTAGCTGCATGTGGGGACTCCAAAATTGACTGATTTTTTCCAGATTCGCCTAAAGTGTACAAAAGTATTTCATTTTTATATTTTAGGCATTATTTAAATGAAAAAAATATTTTTCCGGATCTAACCCAATATATAATTTTGTGGAGAAAAAATCCAAATTTTCAGCTTAAATTAATTACAGTAGAAAAAAAGGTGAAATTTGACTTCCAATAATGTCATTTCTTGAGTGATTACATCAGCCAATTGATTTTAAACTTGGATACTTGACCCAATATTTTTCATGTTTAAAGAGGAGAATTAGAGAGAGGATTGACAGGGGAGGTAGAAAAAGAACAGGACTTAAAGAACATTACACAAAGACGCACCTAAATCCTCAAAAAATTGTATTTTTTTTCCTATTGTGAATTTTATAAAACATTAAAACGAGGCCGTTTGAATGCTTGATCCGACGACGACGACGATGAATTGGGGTAAAATAATTCTCTGAGCTCGTTATACCTACGGGTGTCAAAATTATTAGCCTTGATGAGCTTCTGCTGCTTTGCGTTGAACCTGCTCTGGTAAAAACCTTCAAATGAAGGTTCCCTGGATGTCCTGAGGAAAAATGCATAGCCGGCCATGAAATACACGGAAGTCACGTAGAAACAGATGGGTTCCATCACATCCCACGTCAGTTCCCAGAAGGTCAGCCTCATGAATCCGGCGGTCTGAACAACCAAGTAGGACAGGCCGAACCACAGCTCTCGACGGACCAAGGAATCGGCTTTTTCATCAATCACGGCCTTCTTCTTCTCCAACTCCACCAGCTCTTTTCTTCTCGGGTCATTGGGACCCGGAACTGGTAAAGGAATCAGACCTCCTAGTGCTTCTGCTACCTGTAATCAGAAAAACGAAAAACGCTTCCGGGTAAAACGTAGCTCATTATACATTTTGGGATTCTTTTACTTATGACGACTCAAAATAATCACCATTAAAAAAAACAATCAAAGAAACAAAACTTGAAAATTGAATCAATTCTAAAAGAGAGAAAACTTCTGTTTTTATGCAAAATAAATAAAAGGATGGAAAACATTTGAGTACAAGAAATAAAAAGCTTAGAAAAAAAAAGGTTAATGCCAAGTTGAAGCCCATCCTTATCAAGAGTCAAGATGTTCCAACCAGCTTTCAAGGTCAATAATTTTCTCCAATAAAAGCCCACGAATAAAAAAGGAAAAATAACAGCCATGGCCAGCCGGCCAGCCGGCCAAGTGTCTCACCTTCCCACCGTCATCTCCCTCACTCAAAAATTAACCATTTTTTAATTAACAACAAATTTTACTTTTTTTCCCCCTTTCCATTTTTCTGAAAAATGAATGGGGTGGGGAAAGGGTGAAGGCGATGGGGTTGTAATTTGTAAAGATCCTAAATCCCATTGCATTTATTTTGGAGTCCTTCAGTTCTCAGAAATCATCTCAAACCTGGAAACCTTTTACACGGTTTTTAGATCGGTGCGAAAAATTCCTGCCGAAAAAGAAAAGAAAGAAACACAAAAATGCCCACAAAAAAACCATATCAGTTTTCAATCTAAAAATCTAGAAAAAGTATAAATTATATATAAATTCTTGTTAAACATATCTTTTTTTCCAACCTCCATATGCATAGTCTGTAAGCCAAAAACACGAATAGAATCTCATCCGCAAACAAATGAAATTTCAAGAGATGACTATTAGGGGTAGAAAGTTTATCTACCTGATCGGGACGTAAAACGACGACGTTTCCCAGAACGATAACAGATCCAGATTCGTCTAGCAACTTCGCAAACTGCCGTCCCTGCTCGGGATCCGAACAACTCTCTCCGCATATCTGAATAAAGTCCGAATGAGAAATCCATGTTTTACCGGTCTCCCTCAGCCTCGTTTTCACCACCTCCAACTGCGCAACCCTTAACAACTTCTTGGTTTCCTGAATCGACAGTGAGGCTACCTCCGGCACCGCAGGTTTCGCCGCTAAGTGCGGACTCAACCCATCCAAACGGATCCTATCCTTCGACATATCAATCTCCTTCAACCTCTCTTTCAAATCCTTACCCATCGGTAACGTCCTCACTGCCGGTGAAACCGTAGCTCCTTTATGAAGGAATCTCTTGAACACGCCATTTTCCTTACCGTTACCTATACGATCACCTGGATCCGGGGCTATGTCGGTCGTAGATTTGCCGGCCGTCTGCGGGATTCGGTTTTGAACCGTTGATGAGGAAATCCGGCAATTAGTAACAGCCTGTGAAGAAATTTTCGAAATATTGAAAAGCTTCTCCACCAAGGTTTTCTTCAACGCCATTGCTAAAACTACAGAAAAAATAAAGCGACAAGGTAAAGGTAAAGAATTTTCCCCCGATTTAATTGGGAGAGTACAGATTTTGAAAGCTTTACTTGTTTGGTGATGGGAAAACAATGGAGGATGGTTAGCCCATTTTATAGTGTCCAGGAATGGAGGAGGATGACTAGGATTAGGAGATTAAAATTTAAAAATAAAAAAATAAAAATAATGTCAAAATAACGCGATAATTTGAGGAGTTTTGAAACGGCACTCGTTTGGTTTTCTTTTTCCTTTTCCCACGTCTACGAATATTCGATGTAGGGATTTGGCGTTTTTACGAAAAATCACCCAAATTATATAATATTATCTGTTAGGTATATTTTTTTTAAATATTATTGATTTAACATTATTTTTGACAAAGTAATAATAAAACGTGTTTTAGAAGACGTATTTTTACAGACGTAGACAAGATAGAAGTTACAGGAGACGCACCTTCTTAAGGTTCTGTCTGAGATAGTGTCACGGTGAAAATAAATAACCCAACTTGGTACAATAATTTTTTTTTTCAATTGGTCAATTTCAGCTCAAAAAGGCATTTAGGAAATTGAATATATTCACATCATCAGATATGTCCGACTGTCGACTATAACGATAAGCTTGGTGAAGCTTTTTACGTTCCAAGATATATCATGACGACAGCGTAAAATGTTAAACCTTGCCATGAGAACGCTACAAAAATATTTGGACACATTTCATCGACAGGCGTAATGTATAACTCTGGTTTGGTCTGAAAGGATTAATTGGAAGACAATATCAAAAATAAAACTTGAGCATTCACGGAATAACAAGACAGCATTAACCTAAGATTAATTAATAAAACTGGATAACTTAAATAATTTAAAATACTTTTTTCTGACACGTTATAAGTTAGGAGAGGTGATGTATGTAATATCATTTTTTCACTTAGTAAACTTAAAAAAATAGTTCATAAATTCGATGCTTTGAAGACTTTATCCTACAGTATATAATGCTGGATTGTAGTTCATGGAAGTTGGTAATATGAAAACAACAAGAATATGATATTGAAGGAAGCCCTCAGCCTCAGCATCCAATAGAGGAGCATGCATGTGTTGTCTTTAGGAAAATGGACTAAGCATGAACCATTTGCACTGTATTTTTCTCAATGTTTCCATTATATTCTATGAAGATTATGAATATATATATATATATATATATATATATATATATTGGAATAACTAAATTATTGGCCTGACCTACTTAATTGATGCGGATTGTGGGCAAGGGTTTGGCCTATGTCATCTCTTTTTTGTTTTTTTTTGTATTTATTGTTTTTGGATAAATGGAATTTCATCAAATGTGCATTTCTTTTGCAATGCCAAATCCAAAAGAAAAAGAAAACATATATATTGATCCTTATCGTTGAAATTTTTGAAGATTGATTTTAAAAAATAATAATAATAAGTCGAGCTGATAAAGTATATAGTGTAAATTAGTATTTTATCCTGGGAGATAATTCAAGATAAAAGATTTCATTATCCTGCTTAAAGTGAATTTTCTTATGCCAGCAAACTTGTAGATATTGACTCAAGGAAACATTTCAATTTATAAAAAAAAAAACAAAAAATTTATAGCGGCGTTTGTTCAAAAACGCCGTTAATGTTATCCTTCCCCAGAAAGTTGTTAAACGTCTTGATCAACTCTGCTCTAGATTTCTTTGGAAATGTTCTGATAAGGCATCATCAGGTGGAAGGATCAGTTGGGATAAAATAAGCTATCCCAAATCAGAGGGTGGTCTAGGTTTAAAAGATATTAGCTCCTGGAACAAAACTTACATGGTTCATCTTATTCGGAAATTACTTGCTGGTGAAGTATCTCTTTGGGTAGCTTGGATCCACTGCTATGTTATTAAAAGCAATAACTTCACTGACATCAATGAATGTTCAACTTATAGCTGGTGTTTCAGAAAACTTATTAGATTAAGGAGTGAAGCCCTTCCCCTTCTTAACTATGGTATATCAAAGACACGAGATTTATGGGAGGGACTGAGAGTTCACAAAACAAAGGTTCCTTGGCACATAATTATTTGGTTTCCACTCCATATTCCTAAGTTCAGTATTATTTCATGGATGGTCATACTTGACAGACTCCCAACACTGGATAGGCTTGCTAAATGAGAATTATTTCTGATGAGTTATGTATTTTATGTAATGAGTCTCTTGAAACAAGAAACCATTTGTTTGTTAGCTGCTCATATGCTACTTCACTGTGGAATTCTATCATGAATCTTTCTTTATTGAGTAACATGCACAACACTTGGGAAATAAGGATTGATTGGGCTTGTCTTGAATGGAAGGGTAAATCCATGCTTATCACCATTCTGAAACTTGTATGGACTGCTTATATCTACTCGATATGGGAAGAAAGGAATAGAAGAATATTCAGAATAGAGTCAAGATCGCCTGATCAAGTGCGAAAGACCATAAAAGACCTTGTTCAATTCAAACTTAGTGACAGGAATTTTAATAGAATTGACAAAGTTAACATTAATCTTTGTAATTATTAGGGTATAGACTAACATATTTTTTTGTAAGTAGCGTTTATACTCCCAATTGGGACGTGTTGTTGTTGTACTTCTTCTTTGAATAATAAAATTATGCTTATCCAAAAAAAAATTAGTAGCATTTATTTTCAAAAAGCCGCTACATACATGTTTTCGTGTAATGCTCAAAGACCATACATACGGTTAAATGAAATTTAATTATCAACTCATTGTGTTTTTTAAAGCCCGAGATACATCATAAATTCCTTAAAGCTCACAATGATTTCAGAGTGGATACGTGTCCACCCTCATTAAGTTGTGGCTCCGCCATCGAGAAAGACAATGAAAAATTTAGAAATTTTAATTAATCAAAGGAAGTGAAATAGAGATATGGTTTTGCGTTCATATATAAAATATGTGAAAAACGGACGGAACATGCACGATTTGGATGAGTTCAAAAGTTGCTTACGTCTTCGTAATTCGTTAGAACTGCTCAGCATTAAGAATTGGGGCAGACTTTATTGAGTAAGCACGCCAAAAAAGAAAGAATAAAAACAAGACGATACCAATTTTATTTGTCATTGATAAGTTAATTAACCATTAAAATTAGGTCAAATGTTTGTTTATTTATTTTTAATTTTGGAGCATTGCTGATTGGCTATGGTTGTGAGCACCATGAATGTCATGGTTGTGAGCGTTCAATATCAATTGGCTGAGAGTTCGAGCACCATGAATGTCATGGTTGTGAGCGTTCAATGTCAATTAGCTAAGAGTTATCTTTGAGCGAAGTTATTTTTGGGAAAAAAAATAAATTTTTCATAGTAATCGAATTATTTCAGATGACAAATTTAAGATTGTGTTTGGTTAAATAAACAAAAATTATTTTTTTATCCTAATTTGAATTATAAGAGGCCTTTTTATTTGGTTTATCATGTTTCTATTATAAGAAAATAGATAACAAATGTGTTATATATATATATATATTGAAAACGAAAAATTAGTTTTATTTATTTGCTTTTGGGTCATATTTGTTAAAAGGTTCTATTTTTGGTTCTAACTTACCATATAAGTTTAGTTTATTTGATCTATACTATAACCCTTAAAATTGCTAGATTTAATGTATTATTTTTTTATATAAAAAGCCACTAGTTTTATTAAAAATAGAAAATATCTAGAATTACAATGAAGATTTATGAGTATAACCGTAAACGTAAACTAAATTACAATTAGGACATTTTCCTAAAACAATTGTGATAAAAACTAGCCACCTAAATCACACAAAGACCATTAAAGGAAAAGGTTAAAAAACCTAACAAATATTCGAACAAAATAAAGATACGAATAAATCTGATTGTATCGGTAAACAAACTATAAAAGGAGATGAAGCTACTGAAGGCCACCGACAAATCACAAATCAGAGTCAATCGACGTGAGAAAACTATTCACAAACGTATCCAAATCAATCCAAATGTCCAAAGTAAGGAAGATCATCATGATAACAAACAAACGCCTTCTTGATCAGTCGTGACGATGTCAAATCCAAGCTTGAGAAAAAAGATAAACGAAAAAACGACAAAAAATTGAAAACTATCAAAAGGCAGAATAAAAACGTGACACAAAGAAAGAGATAAATGTAATAGATTTAATTTATTATTTGATACTCAAATTTCTATTTTTCTTTATAAATATGGACCAACATCATATTTTAGATTTAAATTAAAAAACTGAATCATAATCAGATAACAGATTTGGATGAACAATAATAAAACTGACTAATTGTAAGTTAAAAAGAAAATATAATTTTCAAGAAATAAAATATTACTCAAATTCGAAACCAAGAAAAGTTATAGTAAACAAAATCTTTGTGATTTGTATTATGTCTCATGAGTGCACATTTAATTGATTGAGAAGAAAATTTATGGCATTCATGAGATGGTAAATGAACAAAACATACACAACCAAAAGATGTTGGTAATAAAACAAAAAGTAAAGAGACTCAAATTGCAGAGTTTTGAATGACATTCTAGGCGTGTAAACGAGTCGAACGTTCAGCGAACCGTTTGACGGGAAGTTCGTTTATTTATTAAACGAACGAACATGAACAAGATTTTATATTTGTTTAATTAAATGAACGAACACGAACAAATGACTAACTCGTTTATTTACGTTCGTGGACGTTCGATAATTTGTTCGTTTTATGTTCATTTATGTCCGTTTGCTTATATTCAGTCTAATCTCTAGACTCGTTTGAAATATTAAGACCTAATAAATTTTAAACTTAAACCCATTAATATTTTAGGAACTCAATTAATTTTAAACCCAAATAAAAATATTCAAATCAATTAAAGAAAATATAAATCCCAAAATTATTTGGAAAGAAAAACTCTTCTTAAATATAAACCCAATTAATTTTATGTTTGTCCGTTTGTGTTCGTTTATCATTTAAACGAATGAACATGAACAAGTTAAATTTCTTAATAAACATACACGAACAAGAAATTTCGTTCGTTTAGTTGTTTGTGTTCGTTGATTTATTCAGTTAAAATTAAATGAACAAACATAAACAATCATCATTTATATTCGTTCGATTCATTTACAGTACTATCAAATTCTATTCATAAGGTAAACTACTTAAGACAAAACTTCGCCGCAAAACTGAAATGGAACACAAGATTCAAGTAATAAAGCATAGTAATTGCTAAGAGCTAATTTTTCACTCGATTATAAATGTGTTAAAGATCAATGCAACTTCTAGAAAAAAATATACAAATATTATTTAGGATATATATATATCTAGAGAATATTCTAAAATAATATAACAATAGTAGATATCTAAAATTATCTATAAAATAATTTATATATTTATAATGCTTAATATTTAATATTTTTGTCTAGAATTATCTATGAAATAATTTAAATATTTACAATGTTAAATGACTAAGATGTTAGCATGTGTCAACAATTCAACAATCACTAAAATTTATAAATAGGGGTAATATTTACCGATGTAAATATAGAGTGAAAAGGAGTGACAATGGTACAAAAAAGTGTGAGTTAGAAAAAAAGAGAACGTAAGGGTAGATAAGAAAAAAAATAATGTGATAAATATATATATATTGTTGAGTCAATGCACGAGCTCTTCTTTCCTTCATAGTTTACAACAAATATTGTAATTGTATTTTGTATAATAAAAAAATTTCTCCTAGATAAGCCTTATAAAGTGATAGCATAATAAAACTCATCAAACAACTTCAGTTGTAAAAAAGAATACTGATCTATCTAGAAGTTTTGAGTTCAAACAGTTACTTTTGTAAGGAATGTTTTGTCAATGATTTAAAAGAATTTTGAACATATATTATTTTATAATCATCTTAAACTGATAAAATGAGTGATAGTGAAATAAAAGCAAAGAATTTAACACATTTGATTGATTTGGTAAACTAATTAACATACACAACGTGTTGATGTATTACTAATATAAACATTCCATCAATTGATCAACGCAATTTTTGCTATTGTTGTGAGATATTTTAGTTTCAAGTTGTTGTGTATTTTTCGTTATTTACGGGGTGAAATGAAAGTGGTTTCTATTTTTAACAAATAAAGAAAAAATATATGAATGAATGTAACAGAAAATTTATCTTTAAAAAAACAAATACGTTATAGATATTAAAATCATATTTTTGTGATACACAAAGGGGAAACTACCTATCTTCATTCCTCTGGTCGGCATTTCCTGGAGCAGGTTCGTGGCAACAAAGCAACCAAACCAATGAGTTATTACTTGATTCATAATCTCCTCTAACATAGTTAAAATGAATGTGTGGTAGCAATGATTCGGCTGTTTAAAGTAAAGGAAACGCAGAAAGAACTTGCTGGAAATTCAGATGGTGGAACCCCAACCAAAAAACAGTCGGCGGGAGAGCTGCGTTTACACAAAGGTTAAGCCCGATTCGGTTATTTCAATCGAGGTTTGTGTTCTCCCCCTCAATTATTTCCTTCATAATTTTCCTTGTATATGCAGACATTGCAGAGCTGAACCTGCCCGATTGTTGTACCATATCATTTCCTAATGGAAAGGATGATCTCATGGAATTTGAGGTTACAATTTCACCTGAAGATGGATTTTATGTGTAAGGAATCGTTTGTTTTCTCGGTAATTTTTTGATGTACGTGTTGAAAATGTCGCATGCATTAAATAATTATCTAATATATATGCATTAAATATGTGGATCTAATTGTAAACAAATGTATATCTACTGCATGGACATCATAAATTTTTTGTATTGAATGTATTCTAAATCAAGTTCAAACACATTCGATGTCTTGACCGAGTGGCTGCTGTTTCTTACAGTGGTGGAGCATTTAAGTTCTCGTTTCAGGTTTCTCCTGTTTATCCCCATGATGCACCCAAAGTCAAGTGCATCCCCAAGGTAGTATATTAATAATCCTTGCTCATTTTTATTCACTCGTTTGCTTCTTTGTTCAATAACAAAAAGGGGAAAAATAAACAATTTGCAGGTCTATCATCCCAACATTGACTATGAAGGAAATGTTTGCCTCAACATCTTACGTGAAGACTGGAAACCTGTGCTGAACATAAACACCATCATTTACGGATTATATCATCTTTTTACGGTATTCCCCGAAACTGCAGATACTTCTAGGAATATTTTTGCAGGCATCTGACATTTGTGGGATCTGTTTTCGTAGGAACCGAACTATGAGGATCCCCTGAATCACGAAGCTGCTGAAGTGTTGAAAAATGACCCGAAGGCGTTTAAGAATAACGTTAAAATGGCTATGTCCGGCAACTATGTGAAGGGTTTGGGTTACACCAAATTTTACTAGTTTCTTTCTTCGTAGGGTACCTTAAAGTGCTAATGTTATTAACACTTTTCCATGGCCTGTCTGTATAGTTTTATCTGCAAATTACCTCTGGTTTTGGTTTTCTCAGTGGGGAAATTGTTTCCGGAAAAGACCAACCAGATAGTTTGTTTTACTTCTAATGTTATTGTATGTTTTTTGTTTTACTTAATTCATCTGGTTATGAACTAAATTTTATATTTATATATATATTCACTCAAATCATCTCTTTCTCTTTCAAAGTGGCCACTCTAACATTGTGACGGTCCCGCCAAAAGAATTTATACAATGGCGTGTACAATAGACAACACAATCCGAAAGGAATCGCCATCATTGATAATAGCCCTCTAGACAATGCAACTGCCTCCCGCGGAGACCCCTTTATCGGATCGATAGACCTTGAATCGTAACCGAACATCTTCTCCGATAGAATACCGACCAAGGGAGCAGCGAATGAAGAAATTGATCCTTCAAAAGCACGGTCGAATGCGTAGACCATGGTTCGGTGTCTAGCGGGGACGACTTCAGCGAACATAGGACCATTTGCAGCCGTAGAATTCCAACTGATGGTTAAGCCCATCAAAAAGAGAGTGACGGCAAAGCTGTGGTAACTACTCGGGGATTGTGGGATCATTTTAAGAAGGAAGAATGAGAATGGGATGCCCATGAATGCACTGAACTGAGCGCACATGATACGGCCGGAATGCGGATATATTTGTGACATTCGATCCGCCATTAACCCGCCAAGAAAGGATCCAATCGCGCATCCGATCGCAAAAAGACTTAAAAGTGCTGCTGTAGAACTGTGATCAAAACCTGAGAAAGGGAATGAAAGACTCATTGGTGTCAAAAATTAAGCACCAATCCGATCATTCTTCTCGAACAATAATCGACATGGTAGTACTTACCGATTAGTTCGAACCACATAGTAAAGAATACCATGGCCGTCCATGGTAGTGAACCAACAATCCCTTGCAAGACAATAATCTGAAATGTTGGAACCTTTATAACAGCCTTCGTTGCCACCCAGGACTCGAACCAAACTGATGACGCTCCGGCCGTCCCTTTCCCTATCAACTCATCCCTACAACTAAAAGCAGATGAATCACTTGAAATGCTACTAAATTTAAATACCAACAACACATCACTTGATCGATTATGGCGAAATGAATCTGTTTCGATGCTAACCTATCGGGATCATAGCCAACATCTCGATTGGCAGCAACTGTTTCCCTAGGATGAAGGATCAACAACAAATAGGAACACAAGGAGACCAATCAATGAACATAAAGTTGCCATCAAAATGAAGGCGCAACGCCATTCGGGTGTACCCCAGAAGAGCTGACCGGCCATTATGGTAGCAGCGACACCGCCACCGATGCCACCCAAGGTACCAACTAGGCTTAGTAGCCCGAATCCAGCCCCTCTATCACCATCCAAGTAACTATCAGCAATGAAAGACTGAAGTGCCGGTATCACAATGGCTAGTCCAAAGCCATTAACTGCTCTCCACAGTGCAACCTGCAGAAACCGTTGGCTTCCGCCCACTGCTGCCGTGGATAAGGCCCAACACAAAGTGCCTCCGGCGAGAACAGTAGGGCGGTCGTAGTTAATTACGAGTACTCCGGCCAAGGGAGAAGCCAACCCCTGCACAAAGTTCCTTATGAAGGTGAGATAGCCAAGATCAGGGGATAATACCTGAATAGCCGGGGTCTTTCTGTTTCATCAGGGAAAGCCGGAAAGTTCATTTTCTCAGGATTTTAGATCGTTTACTGGATTTTTTATGGTTCATAAACAGCTTTACCATGAAGTGAGTATTTTTTCTTTCTATAATTTATTTATGGAACCTTCGTTTTTGCCTTCATGATTGTTTACTGGTTGCTGGTTGATCTTAAACATACCGCAGTGAAGTTTTTTTTAATGTTTTAAAGAGGCATGTCATGCTATTTGATACGTATAGGAAATATCAGTCGTATGCTATTGGATGAGCTCTTATCTTCTTTTGCAGAAAATTAAATAAATTGGATGAGCTATTATATAAACATGATCAATTTATGTGCTTCTTTGGTATTGAGGTTGTGCTTTAACATTTCACAGATCAAGAAAGGTTTTCCGTGTTTCTTTCTGATTCTCTCTACTTCTTATCAACTTGGCTGCCGTCATGGAGCGTGCTGATGAAAACCTCCTCCCATCTGTTTACAAAGAAGTCAGTGAAGCTTTCAATGATCGGATTGGTGCTTAATTTTAATGTTTCTGTTTGAAACCGATAAAATTTTGTTTCTTTCAAATCTCCTAATTTAACATTTATTATCAGACTATTTAACCATATAAAATCATAATGTAATATTTTAATTTCCGATTTACATCCGATCTCGCACAATACATGTGCAATTTAATACTATTTCATATCATAATTTAAAACTGTCTAATTTAAAATTTAATCGATTCATCTCTATAATATAATATTTTACTACACTCATACATAATCATTTAGTATCTTATTATATTTTTACCTTTCTTTATTACATTTCTTATGTTGTATTATTTTTCATTTGAGCACAGTTTCTGAAATTTTCTTTTTATAACTTTATATATAAAATATCCGTAACATCTATAATTAGATTTATTTTAAAACAAGTTTCTTTAGTGGTTGTCTACCTCCACACAACCACCCGCTGATAAAACATTTTCGGTATAAAAAATAACATTTTAGGTAGTGTTTGACATTAATATTTCTGATAGAAAAAATAACATTTTAGGTAGCGCTCTATCGGAAATATTAAAAAAATATTAATATTTTCGGTAGCACATTTTCTTAGCCTTATATTAGGTTGTCTTTCTTTAGACGTCCATCGCTTTGAATCCTTAGTTGGAACCACATGCTTCCCCCTCTTTAATCATAATTAATTAATGGTTTAATATAAAAATAAATTTCTAAACTTTACCTTCAAAAACGATTTAGTGTCTAAAAAAATTTCACTAAAAATTGGCGCCTAATGTTTTCTCAATTATACTTCTAGGTGCTCACCATTATATTTTTACTATTTAGCGTCTAACAAATTTTTCACTAAAAATTGATACCTAATGTTTTCTCAATTATACTTCCAGGTGCTCATTGTTATATATTTTTATTTTTTTAATAATAAAAATATTATTTTTAATGAAAAAAGAAAAAAATTAAAAAAAACTTAATTTATTTACAAAAGAACCCCAAACTTTTAATAAAATTATAAAAAAGTCTACCCTAAACCTTTAAATTTTAATCTCCAAGATGGAACGCCAGAGAAGCATCGACAAAGCGAAAGAGAGGATGAGTTTTGAGTGGAATTGCACGGTGTTTCAAATGGTGTGGCTTATGAACATCGAGATTGGTCGAAATCGACGAAAAAAATTGACGGTGACTTAAAATCTGATGAACCTTCGAACGCATCTCCACGACAAACAGTGGCAGCTTACGCAAAAGACCAATAAGGTTTTGATCGGGAGTCAACGTCGGTGCTAATGACGGTGACAGTGACTACCACAGATGGCTGGTCGGCGACCATGTAAGGGGAAAGTGGGAAGAGAGAAGAGGGAAGAAAGGGGGCTGCTGAGCAGTCGGGGATTTGGGTTTTTTTTAATAAAAAATATTTTTTAAAAAATTTAAAATAAATTCTAAAAATTACCAGTGCTCGACACATGTCACTTAAAGGCTAAATTTAACGGCCGTTACGGTCCAGACACCTAAAAGTGCCCCAAAGAAAACATTAGACACCTAATTTTAACGAAAAAATCTTTAGGCACTAAAATATTTTTCGAGGCAAAGTTCATGCACTTATTTTTGTATTAAGCCTTAATTAAATGTAAACTATTATTTGTATCTAGATTTTTTTTTGAATAATCTAGGGTAAGTACATGGTGGTATCTGTTTAAAGATAACTCTCAACCTTTCGACATTGATTGCTTACACCCCTGACATCTATGGTGCTTGAACTGTGTCGCTTTAGTTTGTGCCTATTTTTAACTAAAGCTTGTGAAACATTTGGATCTTTTTTGAGATTAAGGTAAAATGCACAAATGGTCCCCAAACTATATAATATTGCTTTATTAAGCCCCTGATTATTAAATGTTATAAAATGGTTCATCAACTATATGGAGTTGCTTTGTTGAGTCCCTTGGGTATTAAAAGTTACAAAATGGTTAACTGACTACTCATTATGTTCCAAACTCGTCCTTTTTCGTTAACAAATTAATGGTCGTATGAGTAAGTAGGTTAACGTCTAGCTCAAACTGTCGTCAAATTTTTAATGTAAAAAGATGATTTTAGAACATAATGAATAGTCGAGTGACCATTTTGTAACTTTTAATAGTCAAGGGACTCAACAAAGTAACTTCTTATAGTAGAAAGATTATTTTGTAACTTTAATAGTCGAAAGACTTAATAAAACAATATTCCATGGTTAGGGGACCATTTATGTACTTTACGCATAAGATATATTATTGGTATAATATTCTAGCAAGTATACCAAACTTGATGGGTATATGGAAATTTTAATGTTTTTCTTCGGCCAATGTTGTTTTTTTTTAATCCCACGCGTTGCTTTCTTTAAAGTCCAAAATATTGTAATTTTTTATTAACCAAAAACAAAACAGTTTATGTTAGGTATGGCTCATAAAACTTCTAGCGCCGCCTAGGCACCGATGACGTAAGTACATTGTTGAACCTCGTTTAAATTCTTGTGTTCTTTCGTTTTTTTCTTTACCCGATTCTTCAACAATTTAGATTATAAATACTTGGAACAAAAAGGGTAATGAAGGTAAGCCTTGAATGAGGAGGTTGAATATTGTGGAATTCTATACTATAGTTATTTTATTTTATAGAATAACTCATGACAAGGAATTATGTATTAATTTCTATAGTTAAATAGTTAAAAAGATTGTTATTCTCTACAAGGATTTTGGGTTCAAAGAATTGTTAACTCTGGGTTCAAAGAATTGTTAACTCGTTTGTCCCAAATCGT